AAAGTTTAAAAACACTTCATTTTTCTATCTCCTAATTGCAAAGACTTGGGAGAAATTCTTTCAAATGCTCCAAATCACATATTTTAATACAATAGTTTTAGGATTGTGTTAAGGTTATGGTTACTTCCTTTCTGAGGTTTTATTTTTAAATACTCCAACCATAAAACCTATTTATTTATTTATTTTACTTTAAACAGAATTTCTAAAACTATTTGAAACAATGTTTGTACTATACTGTGAATTTAAGCAATGACAACCAAAAGCAAAGAAAAATATCATTTCCTACATTATAAGAAGGGGGTGTGTAATGTAAAGCATCATTTTCTGCAAAATGAGGAAATTTATATGTCAAGAGGCCAAGATGTTTGACCCTAAGGTCATTGTCCCTCTTTGCTTTTTAAAGTCAATTATCAGTCAGACTTGATCTGTTCACTTCCTCACAATCCTCTTGTAATCTAATTTTGCTAATTTGAGGATAACCCTGAGCAGGTATAAAACACCAAGGCAGCCATAAACTACCTGTGTGTGGTTGGTTTACACCTTTCTAACACTACTGGGATATTCCATCAGCTGAAACTCAAGCAAACTAGACAACAGAAGATGGCTTGGGAAGGAGGAATTGAGCCCAATGGCACTGAAGGCAAGAACTTCTACATTCCCATGTCCAACAGGACTGGGATTGTTAGAAGTCCTTTTGAGTACACTCAGTATTACCTGGCAGACCCGATCTTTTTCAAGCTCCTGGCTTTCTACATGTTCTTCCTGATCTGCACTGGGACTCCCATCAACAGCCTGACATTGTTTGTAACTGCTCAGAACAAGAAGCTCCGGCAACCTCTCAACTATATCCTGGTCAACCTGGCTGTGGCTGGACTCATCATGTGCTGCTTTGGATTCACCATCACCATCACATCAGCTTTTAATGGCTACTTCATTCTTGGACCCACCTTCTGTGCAATTGAGGGATTCATGGCCACACTAGGAGGTAAGCAAGAAGTCAGATCCTTTTCAGGATCCTTTCTATTTCATTGGCAGATATACAATATCAATGAATAACTCACCTTTTCTGTCTACAGGTGAAGTTGCTCTCTGGTCACTTGTTGTCCTGGCTATTGAGAGATACATTGTGGTCTGCAAACCCATGGGAAGCTTCAAGTTCTCTGGAGCTCATGCTGGTGCTGGAGTACTCTTCACATGGATCATGGCAATGGCTTGTGCTGCACCTCCACTCTTTGGATGGTCCAGGTACTCAAATATTTCTTAATATTTTATTTAGTTAAACAGCCTTTTGTACTTTTAAGCCACTAACTTGAAAATTAGATATTTTCACTCACAAAACTAGATGTTAAATGTAAAGAGCTATTTTTACTGAATGAGGACATGACTTTCTTTCTCACAATCTCACACAGGTACCTTCCTGAGGGAATGCAGTGTTCCTGTGGTCCTGACTACTACACACTGGCTCCAGGTTTCAATAATGAGTCATATGTCATCTACATGTTTGTTGTTCACTTCTTCGTTCCTGTCTTCATCATTTTCTTCACTTATGGAAGCCTTGTGATGACAGTCAAAGCTGTAAGTGAAGCTAAAGTTCTTAAATTATTTATAATAGATCAGTTAATCTAACCAAGCTAGCCATTGCTACTGTGGAATTTATTGCACCTTGCTATTATTGATTACATTTAAATGAAAAACTTAACAGGCAGCAGCACAGCAGCAGGACTCAGCTTCTACCCAGAAAGCTGAGAAGGAAGTGACCCGTATGTGTGTCTTGATGGTCATGGGCTTCCTAATAGCTTGGACACCGTATGCTAGCTTTGCTGGTTGGATTTTCATGAACAAGGGAGCTTCTTTCAGTGCCCTCACTGCAGCCATCCCTGCTTTCTTTGCAAAAAGCTCAGCCTTGTACAACCCTGTTATCTATGTGCTAATGAACAAACAGGTTGGTGTTACGTATTCTCATAGTTTTATTCTCTGTTTTTCAGTCTTTTGCTGTTTACTGAGTTTCTGAATTGGCTGTCTTTCAGTTCCGTAACTGCATGCTATCCACCATTGGAATGGGCGGCATGGTGGAGGATGAGACCTCAGTTTCAACAAGCAAGACAGAGGTGTCCTCTGTGTCTTAATCTTGATGGCATCTTCAGATATAAGGACACTGATGATCGCTCGCAAATTTTCAAAATTCCCATTAGAGAAATCTTTTGCCAAATGGATTTAAGAAGCGGACTTTGGACAAAAACACTAAGGAATTCTATCTTATCTTATCTCTGAACTAACAAAAAATGCATTTTCTGTTGAGGTGATCTTGTACAGCAGTTGTGCGTCTGTGTGCATGTGAGAGCATTTGAGTGAGTGAGTCGATGTGTAGGAACTCAGATCCTCAAAATGTCAAAAGAAAAACTGTAAAACTGCTGAAATGTGACACTTTTACCTGATGAATGTGCAATCACATGCTGATTGTTTTCATGTAATTTTATGGTTGGGGATGTGTGTGGGGGGGGAAGGGGGGCATACTGTATACTTAACTGGTCTACCAGTGGTGTTATTTTTATGTATAAAAAAATAAAATATAGACTTGAGTAGAAAATAAATGCATGCATGAAAAGAAACATACCTGTTTGTTGTTTAACTCTAAAGCTTTACACATAGATTTAAATTAAATCCAAAGGGCACACACACACACACAGGTTTGCACATATGTGCAGGACGATTGTGGCTCAAGAGTTGGGAGGTCGCCTTGTAATTGGAAGGTTGCCGGTTCGAGCCTCGGCTTGGACAGTCTCGGTCGTTGTGTCCTTGGGCAAGACACTTCACCCGTTGCTTAGTGGTCAGAGGGCCCAGTGGCGCCAGTGTCCGGCAGCCTCGCCTCTGTCAGTGCACCCCAGGGTGGCTGTGGTTACACTGTAGCTTGCTCTCACCAATGTGTGCGTGAATGGGTGGATGACTGAATGTGTAAAGCACTTTGGGGTCCTTAGGGACTAGTAAAGCGCTATACAAATACAGGCCATTTACCATATGTGTATCATTCAACACCCACTAAATTTCTCCAGGCTGTTATTACTGTTTTCTCAATTAAAAACAAAACATAGTCACTTGCTGATTATATTGTCAACATGTCATCTTCAAGTTAGTCAAGACTGACAGTTAATGATTCCCTTTTGGACAGGAATGGCTGTTGTTGCATACTTATAAATTATAGTAATCCACCATGAAAGGGCAGCAATGAAAAGAAAAGGAAGTGCTCCTTAGACAGAAGTGTCACACTTATTGCAATTTTTATATAGCGAAGGTTTTGTGATGTGTGAATGTTTAAAATAATGAAGAACTGCTGAGATGTGAAAGTAGGCCAGTGAAATAAATGACCTGCATCAGAAACTGTCTGTTTCCCTGTTTCACTCTCTTATGATGGAAAACAATCACAGTGAGGGGATTACATCAACGGGTCTACAATGGGCGTCAATACATTTTTCACCAAGGGTATGATGAATACCTCTGCTGAATATAACATTAAAATGTCCTTCGGCCTGGATCACTCACAGACAATATGATTAACAGTAAGTCATGAGTCTATGTATAAATACACAATTCTGATAGCACATTTCTTACATCTGAAGATGTGAAGCTGATATATGAGAAATCACCCAAACATGTTTTTACAAATAATTAGCTTTTTTCTGCAATGTGGTGATAAATGAGTGTAGACATTTTTGAGAAATATGTGTAATAAAACATTTGACACCAACAACAAGAACAAAAAACATACACCCTTTGTGGTTTGTTTCTTTTTGGAGAACAAGTGAAGAAATGACTTATTTTCCTGCAATTTGCACGGAGAAGAAGAGGACATTATTAATCCTATTTATGGGAATGCATCAGTAGAAAAAACAACTTATATTTGGTGTGATGTTACACCACCCCCTTGAGGCCTAACTCCTAACATACAACCTCACGTGTCTGCTGTTATACATGCTACATTTTCTGAGACTGAAAAAAGGTACAAAATGAAAAGCAAAGACCTGACATTTAGAAAGGTAGCACATAATTGTTGCTCAAGTGGAATGATAAAAAAAAAAAAGAAAAGAGTTGATGTTATTTTTTTTTAAATAAACATAGTAGGACCCTCGCTTGGAAAGCCTACAGATGATAAAACAGGTGGATAATGCCCCCTGCAGGTGTTTACAAAAAGTGAAAAATATCTTATGTCTCTGTATCACCACTGTGTACAACATCTTCCTCATTGTGCTTCATTTGGAAATAAAAGTCACAGCTGGTTCATGTACACCAGGGAAAACAGACATAACCAACATTAAGTGCTACATGCCAGTATGACATCTTACGAAGGGGATTAATTACATTTAAATGTAGCCTTTCCTCCATACAAGATGGGCCATCTATCTCATGATGTAGCCTTTTATTTCCTGCTGATGACCTGACCCTAATTGGCATGCTGTGGGTACATTCACTGCAATTTTCTTCAAAGAGCCTCCTCTGGACACCTGCATGTGCTCAGTCTCTTTGTCAGGGGGCCGGCAGAGGCGAGCATCACCCCTCTTTGTTCTAATTGCTTTAATCAGATAGCGGACTGCATACAGAGGCCTTAATAACAAACTTGGGGATGCTCTGACTGTAACTCAAAGCTAATGTTCACTTTGAGGACGGCTGGAGCTACATAATAGTTCTGTTAGCAACAGTCTGTTAACAACCGACCTAATTTTAAGCAGGATTCCCAGTCAGCAAGTGTAAGTTTACCACAGTTTGCTTTTAACATACGAAATCTATATTATTTGATCCCTGACAAGAAAAGTTAATTATTTTTTTCTGAGTTTTTTCTGCTTTGCCATTTTTCGGCAAATTTATGTAGTGGAAAATTTATTTGCATTTTTCTTTTTTCTTTTTTTTGGCAGGTTAATGTTTGTGTGTGAAAAAAAAATGAAACATTTCTTAAAACCAATTTGTTCTGATGACATATCATCCCGGTGTTTGTTGAAACAGCCTAAATATCAGGCATTTCAGTCTCATTTTATTTTTCTACAGAACACAAGTTAAATCAGTCAAACAGATTTTGAAGCATTTGCCTCACTGAGTATGCAGCCTCAATGCTCAGATGAGCACAAACAGTGTTGTCATATTATTTGCTGCTCAGATACCACATCAAACTACTTATGAGTATGCCTTCTCATGGGCTAAAGCAAGAACAACTTGTCAAACAACACAAAACACGTTCAAAAACAGGCAACTGTTGGGCACCTGCCATGATAACCGAATTCCATGTGTAACATTGTGGTGTTCCCGTGAATGAATGAATGAATGAATGAATGAATGAATGAGTGGTGGAGATCCACTGACACACTGAGGTTCACAAGCAAAGTTATCATTCAGTGAAGAATATTTATTCCACCTGCAGTGGCTTACTTATAACAATAATAATTTACTTAGGTGACATGGAAATGACTTTAAAATCAAAGGTGGATTATAGCATTACGGATTGCTGACATTTATATTGGTGAACATGTACACAAATCAGCTCAACCAACAGCTACCAACTCAAAGTCATGAACAGTTTATGGTCTGAGTGGTGAAACATTTTAGGTATTAGTATTATGGCCACCTTAAACAGATGACACTGACTTCGAAAAGATTATTCCATCAGGATTTGCAGGTGAGATGATTCCATTCACAGTGTGAGTCACGCTTCTTTAAATCAGTATTCATTAGTGATTCACTATGCTGGTTTCCCAAATTTGATTGCTTTCTGTAATTTTTAGTATTTACTACTTTTTTTGTTTCTTTTACTTATATACTTTGTCACTGAAATTAGTGGGTCGTATCTCTTTCTACACAAACTAATAATGGTATACACTCACTTCGGCATATATCACCCACTATCACGCTATGATTGAAGAAATATGCACAGCAACAACTGACATAACATACATCCTAAAGTTAAATCCTTCAGAGTAAGATAAACTATAAACAACATGAGTCACTTGATCATATTATACATGCATAACAAAACTCTAGTACATTTGTTGGATTCAATTCTTGCACTAATCCAGCAGATTTACAGACGTGTGTATTGTATTTTTCAATTTACATGTATAATTAAAACATATATCAGCTTAAACATTGGTACAAGGCAGGAAGCCATGCTTTCATCTTGTTTACATCAAATTCTGACCCTACCATCCAAATGTCACAGTAGAAATTTAGACTGATCAGATCCAACTATGTTTTTCAATTTTCTGTTGTCCAATTTTTGTTATTTTGGTGAGCCTGTGAGAGTTGTAGCCTCAGTTTTCTGCTGTTAGCTGACAGGAGTGGAACCCAATGTGGTCTTCTTCTGCTTTAAGGTGTGATGTGGTACGCTTTGACAGATGCTCTTCTGCATACCTTGGTTGTTATCTGAGTTACTGTTTTCCTATCAGCTTGAAGCAGTATAACTTGAGTCTGCAGTATAACATCCCTGTGGAGGAGCTTTGGCCCACTTTTCACTGCAGAATTGTTTTATTTCAGTCATACTGCAGGAGGTTTAAACTGCAGGAAGCACAAGCATGAAGACCCTGTTTAATGGTCATGCTAAAGTATCCATCCACTCTCCTCTTCTTATTCATGAGGTCACCAATCTGTTGCAGGGCCAACATAGAGAGACTGACAACCATTGACACTTACACCTACAAGAAACTTAGAATCACCCTTAACTCCACTAACTGCATGTCTTTGGACTGTGGGTGGAAGCCAAGTGAACATTTAAACTCCACACCGAAGGGCCCCAGCCAGATAGTGGAGCTGAACTCAGGACTTCCTTGCTGTGAGAGTACGAACCACCATGCCACCGTGCTGCTAAAGTAATTCAATTGAATTTAAGTCTGGGTTTTGACTGGGTACTTTCAAAAGGTTAATTTTGTTTTTTTGAGCAATTCTTTTATGACTTCCTGGATAAGTCACGGAGGCGCTGTTGGAATTATTTTGGTAGGAAAATGACTCCGAGGAAGGTTCACTCTTGTGGTAGTTTTCCTGATGTCCTTTGTTTTACATTTGTGGATAATGACTCTCGCCGCCTTTTAAAAAGGAAGTTAATCACAGTTAAATTATGATTTAACAAGGAGAGAGTGGCAACTACTAATGTAAATTTATATTTTGATGATCTGAAACATGTAAGTGTGTCAAATAGATTTAAAAAAAAACTAAGACATCAGGGAGGGGTCAAACACTTTCTATTATCAGCACTGTAACTGCTGTGCTGTCATAGTGCTATTTGAGTAAATCTTTTAATTTAAGGATATTTGTAAATACTGTTCATACGATAGTGATTATGATGATAATGATTATAATAATAATTGTAGTGGTAGAAGTAGTAGTAGTATATAAATTTAACACAATAACAGGCTGTAAAGTTATGTGTAAAGTTCACAAGTTAAAATAATTTCTGTGGTGTCTTATGAAAACTGTTTGGGTTTCCCGCTACAACCACAGGTGCACAGTTGTTTGCACAGTTTGTACAGTCGTGTTCAACTTCATGATTTTATTTAAACTGAAATGCACTGGCTGATCATGCTTGTGCCATCATGCATGTATATCACTCTGTCTTTGCAGCGACTTGTTTACAAGGACCAAACCTGTGTAGTCAAACAGGTTAAGCGGTTTTAAGTATTAGTTAGCATTTTGTTAATTGTCTCAAATAGGATGAAACAGATACCCTGAGGGATTATCCCTTTGGGCTTTGCACTTGAGATAATCCTGATACACAGTATGAGAAACGCTTTACTTTGGTGTTCTCATAACAGCGTTCACTAATTATTTCCTTTGGAAATATCTCCATTAGGTTTTTTTTTAGTATTTCCTCACTTTCAATGTCCTTTGTTTTGTTTCTTTTTTTAATGAAAACATAGAGATTGACATCTTTTACTGAAGAAAGTAACCACAGAATACACCCTGATTAAACTGTGACTACCTAAAAAATCAACCATATAACTGAAGAATATGCAGTGCAACACAGATATTAAAAACATGAAATAGGCTGAAAATCCCATGAGCACATACAAGCACAAGCAGGTAAAATATACTTACGCCTGTTTCATGTTAACAGTATGATTTCAACATGAAAATTATACTGATATATTGGAAGGGATATATAAAGGAAACATTCAGCTTTGATATAACTACATCAAAAGTGACTATGCTTGCATTTACAGAAGCACATATCTATTAATACTCATAAATGTTCAAATGGAGACACTGCAGTGCTAATAACAAACAGAATCAATTATGCAGAACAGTCAAACAAATAAATATTCATGGAAGAATGCTCACACACTGGTTACATATATTTGTCCACTGATACAACATATTTCCATATTACATATTAGAGAGCACTGTAGTGTGATGTGTTTTTTCATTTAAAGGTAAGATCAAGCACTTATAAAGTTTGTAAAGTAAAATCATTTCTTTATGAAGAACTCAAAGCCCCAGAATGATAACGCTAAAGCAACCAGATCCTATCTCAGTGTAACTGTGAAAGGATATTTTAATTGTTTTCTGGAAATGTAGAGTTTAAATTAGATTTAGATGAAACTAAAAAAAAAAAAAAATTGTCCACAGAAAATGAAAGGAAAATAGAAAATGCACAGTAAAACATGCAAAAGGACCCAGAGATCTCAGAAACAGTAATCTTGAGCAATCGTGAGCGTATAAGTTTATGTAGAGGATAAACTACGTTGTGATCCAAACCCTTCAGCATTACATTTAGTCAGCAATGATGTCATTTTCACAAACTCAAAACAGCAGTAGCAAATTTTCATTCAGTTCTCTACGTGCATGTGCATGGTCAAACTCTAAGTCACATCTCATTGACAAATATCATCGGACCTTGAGAAGCCACTTTATCTTCTCTGTCATAAATTACCGGTTTACCAAGATATGTCTGTGGTAAGCTGAAGCTTACCTGTGTCTGGTTGATGCTAGCTTGCCTCTGCAACTGGTGATCAAAGTCTCCCTTTGACAGATTGAAACTGTTTTGTCGAGAGGGAGCAAAGTTCTCCTCTGGCTGGTCGAAGCTGCTCTCGCTGTAGAGCCGCTGTCGCATTGAACCGGAGCGTTTCCCAGACGCACTCCTGGTCGGATATCTCTGTCCAGTCTTGTACCAGCCCGTCTCTTTGAAGACAAACCAAATATTCCCAGACCAAAGGACAACATTAACAAAGCCAAAGACCTGGAGGAAAAGAAAAAACACACTAATATAAAATTGCTTTCAATAGCAGTGCTTCAGAACGTGCGTCATTCTTTAATTATAGACATACCACAGATGTGTTAAGACGTGACCATAGAGGCTCCTCTGTAGCTGTGCATTTGTTTTCCTGAGCTCTGCAGGAAGTGATGAGAAGAAGCACCTGTGTTGGGTTGGTGACTGTCTTTATATCAGAAAGAGTTTTGGCCCAACAACAACTGCTGACCAACCACATGAAGGAGAAGATGATCGTAACAACAAAGTCCTGAGACACAGGAGAAAGGAGAAAAAGTCAAAAACCAAATTGAGCAATGACTTAAAAAAAAAAAAAAAAGTAAAGTTAGATCATGAATGTCAGCCTCAGGCCTAATACCAGCAGATATGCTTATATTAATGCCACCTCATATCAGCCAATGACTCCACTACACAGTTGGGTATCTCATACAGAGCATGCTATTTCAAGTTAGTGCAAATCTGCAAGCTTCTTGACAACCAGTCTCCACCCTAGCTCCACTTTTATGCCCTGTCTGACTTAATAAGCAGGTCTTGATGCTGCTCCCCACTTTATACACTTCATGTATATGGATGTGCAGGAAGGCTCCAGAGTGGAGTCACAAAATACTGCAACTATTCTTTTAGCTATATTGGTCACGTCTGAATTGCATTTTATATAATACATAAACAAGACTCTATCAGACGGTAATATGAAGCTGGGACACTGAAAAATCTGAACATGAAAACTCACTGACCACAAGTGGACCTCTGTTGTTCTTCAAGTACTTGTTCTGGTAGAAGACATAGACAATTGTTGCCAACAGCGAGTACAGGAAAGCAAAGACACCCACAGTCATGAAGTATTGGGCAGCTGAGGAGAAGTCACCTTCCAGGAAAATAATCTCATCTCTGTTCTCTTTGCACAAAGGAGCTTCAAAATGCACTTGCTGTAATCTACAAAACAGAAAGAGCAGGTTTATGTGGAGAAGTGGGGGAAATTTGTTGCTGCAAAACTGATTGGTTAAATAACTCTTTATATACAATCAGTTTTCAAAGTCTGTCTGAAACCTGTTCACCAGTGTTTGGGAAAAAACAAAAAGGAAAGTTTGTGAAGGACAGCTTAGAAATCTAGTGGTGCTTTAATAAAAAATAAAGCTCAGTTTTCTCTTTCTTACCTGTTGTTTTTGTTTGTTTCTCACGAGACTCTTGTGAATTTGGTGTTGCTCGTATAAGAAGCAATACAATACAATATTTATAAAGTAGCTGCAAAAAGAAAAAAAAAGCCAAGGACGTCTGCAAGATCTCTCTCCAATATGACGAAAGGACAGTGAAACTGCTTCTGAAATATGACGCACTGACCAGTCTGATAACAGCAAACTGAGCAACTGTTACCCTGACAGGATCAAGTTTAAATCTTGATTAATCCTCCACTCAGTGAGGATTAGTCACTTTTTTCAGTTAGCATTTTATACTGGTTTATACTGGTTTATAATGGTTGATAAAACTTGAAAAACAGCAGACGCTGTGCTTCATAGTTGATGCTGTTTTCTGTCTTCTCCTCAGAGAGAAAAGTGTGATGCAAGGTGTTGCGTATTTATGCATGCTCAAAAAGTACAATATGGCCTAAAAAGCACTGAAGCAAAAAAATTCTACTAAGTAGACCCAATATTAATTAGGTCTTCATTATAAAATACTAAAGCATAAGGAGTACATGGTAAATGGACTGGTACTCATATAGCACTTTTTCTGCTCGAGCACTCATATAGCACTTTCTTACTACAAGCTTCATTCACCTACACAAGCACCAGTTTTACCTTACTAAGTGCTTTTAACTTAATATTCACACAGATCCATCCGCATTCACTATCTTGCCAAAGGATACTTCAACATGCAGATTAGAGGAACTGCTGACCTTCTCAAGCAAATGACCTGCTCCACCTCCTGATCCACCGCTGCCCAGTATTCTTAACAATGTATGTTTGACTTCTCTCAGCATCTATTCTAATGCAGTTGTACAGGGCATGAGAGGTTTGAGTGGGTCGGTTCATGTGGCTGGTTGTTTTTCACCAGGGTTTGGCTTTTGATCAGTTTGTTATAAATTAATGATTAAAAAAAAAACCCCATCACAAATAAGAGCATGAAAAACAGAAGCAATTTTTTCAACACAACTCCCACTTTTACACTGTTCACATGCTAAGCGAGTTAAAATATATGCATAGAAAAGCAGTGTAGACATATTTGCCAAATGAACATTTTATTCATTTGAATGAAATAGCAAAGCAGTTGTAAATGTTCATATTTATCATATCGTCTCAACCCCTTTTCCGGTTCAGGACAGTAAGCCAGCTGTGCATGGGCAAGAGGCAGGATACAGGCCTGGACTGGTCTATCACAGGCTGAACTCATGGAGACAGAAAATCATTCACACTCATATTCACATCTACAGTCAATGCAGCAGCAAACTCTTTGGAGAAAGTCCATGCAGGCACAGGAGGAGCATCCAAACTCTACAGACAAAGCCAACAGAACCTATTTGCCATGAGGGCAACTTTTGCACAACTGTCAACATTTATTTTCCACAATTACACTGCGAAGGTTGACTAATACCTGCACACACACACACACACACACACACACACACACACACACACACACACACACACACACACACACACACACACACACACAAGACTAGTAATTATGATTAACAGGCACACCACTCATGGCTCAAATGAAATGATGTGAAAAGTGTGACCTCCCTGTGGAAGCCACTCACCTAAACCAGGCTTTTTTTAGACAATAAAAAACCCCAATGTTCATGCATTGCTCTTTGCACTTTACTGGTATAAAATTAAACTCTTCAACATCCACTTTTGGCTGGATTCTCTGTATAACACAGCAATTTCATTTAATCAGTGGGTAATTACATTCTATATTCCCACCACAGATCTGAAAATATGTAATTGCTGTGAATAAAAAGGACCTGCCAGATTCAACAAAGCAATAAGAACAATTTTTTTTTGTCATCCTGGAAGACAGCCGAGTAATGTTTATGTAATGGTTCACAAAGAAAGGCTGACATGGCCCCAGGTCATTGATGCAGTGTTTTCGAGTTGTGGACTTTCTAGTATTGTTCATTTTAATATTTTCTGTTGATTCTTAGGTTGCCTTGTTATTTGCTTCATGATTTCAATTTCCTTAGTTCCTGTCTATCTTCTCATGTCAGTTTCCCTGCGTTAGTTCAGCCGTGTGTGGGTTTCCCCTGTTTAGTTATCATGCTTCACTTCCTGCTTTATTTTTATAGTTGAATTCAGTTTTACTTCTCCTCATCTTATTTTCCAGATTGTTTGCAGCAGACTGTGAGCACCTGTGTTGTTCCCCAGCTGCGTTCACTTCCCTTGAGTAGCCTTGTGTGCAGAAGCAGCTTCACTTTTCCTGTTATCCTTGCTCTGTGCATTTGTTATTCCTCCTGCTGATGTTCCTAGTTAGGTTAGTGTCCATTTTCCTGGAGTCCTTGGATTTTGTTATCTTTTTGATCTCAGTTTTCATTTGAACTGCTCCCTCATTTATTTATTAAAGGCATGATTTAGATTTTACTCCTCACAGTGATTTTTGGGTTCACATTTGGGATCCGCTACCACACACACTATGACAAAGATACTAATTTGTGGCTCATCATAATATCAGTGGGTCGCTAAGCATTCAAATCACCTACACGTACATGTTGTAAGATGAGAGCGAGTGGTAAAATAGAAACACTGGAACAGAAGTTAAAAACAAAAAGCACCTGAAGCTAAGATTTTTCTCATAGGAGTCCAGGTACGGATGAATCTAATGATGCGGGGAAGTATTTTAGACTCTGGGACAATAAATGGGTCAGACTCCTGCTCAGCTGTCAAGCTCTCTCATCCTAAGTTGGACAAAGAAAAAGCAGCTCCTCTGTTTTAGAGCTGTCATGTCAATGGAGCAGGCCTGTACAATTTTAAAATACTTTCTGGGCCTATTTAAGATGATTACTGTGGACATGCTTTTTTAGGAGACTATTCACATTTCAGCTCTTAAAATAATAAAATGTAAAGAGATTTATTTAAAGTTAGCTGTGAAAGATTAAAGGAATCTTACTTAGAAGCAAACAACCAAAAGGGATCAAAAAGGAAACATAAGCAATTCGTTTACCTGAAAGGATACCCGAAATCAATGTTGATGCTGCGGTTATTCTGCCTCCTGTCTGCACAGTCCACCTTAACCTGGAGATGACCATAGTATCCTCCACATGTTGCAAAAGCACAGATGGCAAAAATCTTTGAAAGAAAAATCGTAAACCAGTAACCATTAGTTGATCATTTATTCAGACTCTCCAAAAGTAGTTGACTCCAATCAGCGTGTGAGTGCAGCTTCCTGCATAATGTATACACATCAATAAATTATATGACAGATTATTAAGATTTATAATTGGTTTGAAAACAAAACCTGAATAATTTAAAGGTTGGAAGACAACAAACAGAGCTCCTGACTGTGCCCTGGAAGGAGGCCACAGCAGTACAGTGAGATTCAATTTGTCAATGCTAATACCAAACTCAGAGGTCTAACTTACTGTGAGACCCAACTGACTGTGAGGCAGACAGCTTCCTATTTCTTCCACTTCACTGACGCAAAGAACAAGAGCTTTACTCTGCATCGGCAACTTTGAGTCCATTTATTACTTTTAACATCAAACACAAACTAAAAATGATCCCTAATTAAACTGCTGTTATTGATACAATTACATTTTAAATGTGAATAGAAGCAGACGTCATCATTTTCACCAACCCGAAGAGATAAATACAGAAAATAAACCACCAAGCAAAGAAACTTACCGGAGCAAATATAACCATACACATTTAAAAATCACAGAGCCCAACTCCGCACAGTGCAGACAGCTTTAGTCACCAGGTTGAAATGTCACTGATGTAGATAGGAAAACCAGAGCGACTCCTCCAGCAGAGGGGAGGGCTGACAGGAGGTGCCTTCCCCAAGGAGGAGTCGGAGACATAGTCAGATGCTATATTTATTCAAGCGCTGCAATAAGCTGTGTAAAAAATATCAGGTAAATATTTTGTTTACTTTACTTGTGTTGCACTGATTATAAGAACGATTCCTGTTTTTTAGGATTGGCGTGTCATGGCAAAAACATCTTTTCAAAATAAAGCTGCATTAGGAACATGAAACAGATGCAAATATCTGGGGCAGTGTTTTCATCATGACAATTATTTCTCTGAACTTAATCAGGTGAATTTGAATGCTGAAATTAAGGTTAAACATAAAACCTTCAACATGAGACACATAAAATTGAGGGAAATTGTGTTCGTAAACATAAAAAAAAATGAAACAAATTAGTCTTGTGTTGTCTACCTTTGATTTCTGGGCTTTGAGCTGAAAATGAAAAAGCAAATGAAAGACTGGAGGTTTAATTTTCTCCTTCCATTTGGGATCATCACAGCTTATTTAGATATCCAGTGCATTACTGAAAAACTTCAAAGTTGATGGCACCCTTAAGCCGAAATCATCCTAAAAATATTAGTTTACATGCTGTAGTTGTTTATTTCTAGCGTAATGAGGGAGTCGAATTGACACAGATATGCAGTTGGTTACTCTGGTTACTCTCATTTTAATGTAGCTCCAGTGTAGCTGTGTTGCTTACACTGAGGTCTGATGAGTATATTAATTACAGTTCCTTTGAATTGCTTTGTATTCATTAATAACAACATGTGGGTCTCAGTAATTATTGGGGCTCAGTAAGCCCAGAGTGTCAGGGGATCTTGAGTAATAATTTTAAGTAATATTAGTTCAGTGACCTCCACAAACAAGTATATTTCCCTTCAATATTAATTTTGATCAGTTTAACAACTGATTGAGTTAAAACTATACCTGCAGCTGCCTGTGTTGAAATGAGAGAAAGCATCACAGCTCCTGTGCATTTTGCAGATTTTAATAATTGCTGGATTCTTTAATTACATTTTTTTTTCTAAGCAACTGCTGATATTTAGGTCATGTGTGCTGATATAAAAAGTATCTTGCTGACCTCTTTTGGTGACAAATCTGTACTACAGATGAATTTTTAAGTAAGGACGGAATTAGGGTTGTGCATGTCAGTGAAATATGTTTGCAATATACTGAACTACAACTGGGTTTTAACTGCTTATTGGTGATCTGAAGATACTGCAGCAGGACTGTGCTTTTCCTAAAGCAAATAAAGCTACCTAAAGCTTTTTGTCAAAATCTGATTCTGATTAGTCTGAGTACTCAAAGTGAAGCGATTTATTTACAGTACAGTACCATGAATATGTTTAGAGATTAAAATGAGGGCGAAAGAGAGGGAAGGTATCATCAAGAGAGAACAGGCCGGTTTTGTTGGTACAAGAGCAGCTACTGGATCTCTTCAGCAGACTATCTCAGTGAAATGTAGTTTCCATTTTTATTTTTCACCAGGGCCTCTATAAAAGCATCGCAATTACTACACATCACACCACCAAATGTTAATACACCTGCTATCGATCATTTAAAGTGCTCCCACTAATAACGATCTAAGAAGCAAATAAGCATCGGGTAAATACATAACACACAGTAATTACATCATAAAAGCAACAATATAAAAACAGGATATAATGAAATAGATATTGTGAAATATCCTTTTACATCATGTGAATTGTTGGAATATATACTGGAATAAATATCCACTCAAATCTTGAAAGTAATCATTGAAGAGCAGCAGGCAGTGCGTGATTAAATAACGGCTTTAAAAAAGTCAGAAGCCTGTTATGAGAAGTTATTTTAAAATAGAAAGTGACATTGATTGCCCAATTCCCTCAGGCAGTGACCAATCACAATTTAAGTCTGCACTGAGAAGCAGCCAGAATGAGCCAGTGCCAGAGGAAACCTAGCTTCTTTGAGGTGAAAGCATCTGAAAGGTAGCAAGACGGCAGGTTTAATGTGTTTAGAAATCTCTCAAAATCAGTTGTGAAAGTGACGGATACCCAGTGTGCGAGAGTAAAGACAGATGTCATGTGGATTCTTTTAGAACCTATTTTGTTCCAGCTGGAGGCTGACAGGACCATTAAACTGATGTAAAAATAGAGGTTGATGCTGCAGTCTTGATGAGAAGAGACATGAAATCCCCTCCCTCGTTTAAGCAGAGATAAGAATAGTTGTTTTTTTTTGGTAATTCCCACGAGTAAAGACTGCTGCTTTGGGTTCTTTGCACCTCAAGTTAGTTTTTAAAAATGCTGTTTCTATGGAATGAGCCAGATAACTGTGGAGAGACAAAACAAAAGTCTTTGTTGTGAGACATTTTACAACATCCAGCTCTGTTTCAAATGAACTCTCATGAAGGTTGTCAGAAATGTTTTGAAAGGTCCAGTGCGTTTCAGCAATATAAATGTTTGTTGTTGAAAACTGCAATAGAGAAATTTAGATTGGGAAAAAACATCAGTTCAAATAGAGGTTGTTAGTCAATCGCCTAAGGGGAAAGCGAATATCCTGTTCAGGAGGTTACATGAGCTCTGACCCACTGTGTCGATCGTTTGTTCTTCACTCAAAACAAAACTCCTAAGCACTGGGTTGTTTTTTTAAAAAAAGACAAGAAAAAGTAAGTAAAACTCAACAATATGGTGAATCAGTCTCACTCTTTTTTTTCACTCAGTCTACCATAAAGAAAGATAGCCATTCACACTGACTTTCACAAGGTCTTTAGATCGTATGGAAACCCAAAAAGGTGCAAGGAGAACATGCAAAACCCAGATGACCAGCGGGTCTGATACCACTGCTGCTGCCATGCAACAATGATAGCCACTCCATCACTACACTTTATTGTAGGTCCAAGATGTATCCAAAAAAAGGCAATCAAAAAGGCTAATAAATAAATGGCATCCAGGGAGCACACAAGGGTGGCAAACAGGAACATAATCAGATCCACACTCAAGACCGTGGCAGTTAAGTCTTTGTAAGTGTTATATTACCCTGCAGTACTTAAATGTTATTCTTTACTAATACTCATACACTGTGAAATTATCTGTGTTATTCATGCATATAAAGAAAATCCTTCTGAAAATGTGAAAATGCTCAATAACTGACATAGTCCTACTATTGTTAAGTAGTCTACCTCACCTTTATTTAAAAAGAGTGATTCAATTAATGCAATGTAATTGATGTCAGTGTTCCCCAAGCCTCACCAGCATGCACACAGCCTGAATAAATTCAACAGACCTCACTGTTAATCTTCAGGATGTAAAACCAAGAAATTACAGATAATCATCTTTTATTTAACACTCTAAAAGATGGATTTCACTGCTAGAAAGTCAGTCACGTCATGGAGCTATAATATTGGGATATAAAATGGTAACCCATACCTGACAATAAAATAAAGAGACAGCTGTGTTTTAAAGGGGCTTGAAAAGAGGAAATGACCACAATGTCTTGCCGGCCCTCTCTTCCATTATTGTTCAACTGGTAACCATTAGTAGTTTTGTCACGGTTGACGCTGGCCAACCGTGGGGATGTAAGGAAGGAGGACCCAGGCGTGGAGCTCTGAATGCAAACAGCGCGTTTATTTACAGTGAAAATGGAAAACACAATAAATCCTCAGTGCGTTCCCGACTCCTTTGACATGTCCTCTTCCCAGTGCTAGTGTTCCTGTCTCCGCTTCTCAGTGTCTGAGCACCCCGTGCTCTCTGCTCTCTCGTCTCCACGCTTCTCCTGGGGAAATCAATCAATCAATCAAAATTTATTTATATAGCACATTTTAAAGACCGAAGTACACCAAAGTGCTTTCCAGTAAAATCCTGATACAGATAAAAATCACAATATAAAATATAAATTACAGATATAAATAAAATAAAATATAAAATAATTAAATAATCTAAATGCAAAGCCAGATGTAAATTACCCTAATTAGCCTTAAATGCCAGGTTAAACAAATACGTTTTTAGACGTGATTTAAAAGACTGAATTGAATCGGATGCGCGAATATGAAGATGAAGAGTATTCCATAACCTCGGTGCGGCAACGGCAAAGGCACGGTCTCCTCAGGTCTTCAGCCGAGACCTAGGTTGCACTAAGAGCAGTTGGCCCGATGATCTTAGTGCTCTCTGAGGGCTATACAGACAGAGGAGATCAGCTAGGTAGTCAGAAATAACAGAGAGGCCACCATCAGACACACCACCATGCAGCAGACTAAACTTAGTAACTGGTCAAGAGACTAACTTGAAGCCACGCAATGATCCAGCATCGGAGGGAGCTCCACCACACTCTAAAGTAACTCCTCCGACGGGGCTTGATCAGCTGTATGATGGTCTTCAGGTGTGGCCAACCACCTGGCAGGGCCACACCTACCAGGCCTGAAGGCGCCTGTAAACAGGTGCTCCCAGACACACCCAGACACACACCTGCAAGCAGGGAGAACGAGGGACAGCAACATCAAAAACACATATAATAAAATACAGGTCCATAACTGCTCAGAGACCCTGGATCGCTCAGATCCAGGGTCCCTGACAAGTTTGTATTAGGCTGGTGCTTATTAAGGTTTTTTCTTAGTTCACTGCAGAGCAAGTTAACCACAAGCCCTTTTCACAAAAGATATGCTGACATTTCTCAGGAGGAAAAGCATAAATAAATGCCAAAATGTCAGTTTCGTGAACTGTGTGGATCATTAAGTGGATGAGAAACCAAACTGCAGAACAAAGGACATGTAAACAAAAGGCTCATTGGGGGGGCTGATGCAAAGCCCAAAACAAAATAAGGTCCCAAAGGTGATCAAACATATCCAAATCTGACCACAAAAGGAATTAGAACCACTAGGGATCTATCCAGGAAATCTCAGAGGAATTCAGGCAGACAAGCAGGCAAGCTACACAAACAACACAACAGAGAACAGAGAGAAGACTGAGGCTTTAAATAAACAGAGGCG